AGGGGATGAAGGCAGAAAATGAGGAGCAGGGGCTCTTCCTAGGAGAGTTCACATACAGCCCTGCAGAACATCCTTTCCAGACTTTCTGGCTGCAGGTACTGTGACAAAGAGGCATGAGAAGTGTTGGAGAGTAAGAGGGGGAGGGAGAAATAGCGGTGGCAGGGGAGAACCTGGGGAGGGAGGGAAAGAAAAAGACAGCTCCTCTCTGCTCATTTCAGAACGAGGGCTGGGACTCAGTGCGCTATGTGAAGCTGGAGGTCCTGAGCAACTGGGGCCACCCAGAATATACATGCCTCTACCGAGTCAGGGTCCACGGGCAAGAACCCTAAGAGGAAGAGGGAGTCTGGGGGCACTCTGCTGGAAGCAGCAGTCTATAATGAATAAATCCTGCAAGATTTGAGCAGCTGCCGTGATGTGCTACTTAGTGCGCCTTTCCTGCCCCCTTCCAATCCTAATTGCGCCCTCCTTGACAGCACCTCCTGAGAGTGTTCTTGGCCCTCTCATGGACTTTTTCCCGTAATTAAGATGTCATGCCCTGCAGGGCGTAGGCCTTCCACAGTCCTTCCAGCATTTTTCTCATACAGCCATGGGCTGTTGCTGGAGAAGGAGCAAAGCGGGGAAAGCAAGAGAGCTTTCTTTTAAATGGAAAGGGGAACATTTGGGTGGACTCGCACGACAGTGGGAGAGCACAGCAGGGTTTTGCCAAGTCCATTCCAGCGTGCAGCTGCTGTCCCTGGTTGCCTATCGGCTGCATGAGGTGATGCAGCTTGGCGGCCGGAGGAGGCTCCCTCTGCATGTGGGCAAACACCGTCCTTGCGTTGCTCCCCACCAGCTTCTCGGGGTTATTTGCAGGGACAGCATAGATCAGAGTGTTCCCCAAGCTTTTTGTCCTCTTCTGTCACCCTCAGCCCTCCCCTCGCCACAGCAGACCCTCTAAGCTCCCATCCAGGCCCTTTTCCCTGCTGGCACACAGCGGGTGCAAGATGGGTTGTGTGGCTGGCATCTCCTCCAGTGCTGTGTTTGGCTCCTTTAACGGCTTTTCCTGGGGAAAGGGGACGCTGACAGCGTAAGCGGGTGCCTTCTCATCTCTTGTGTCTGTATCGAGAGAGGAGCTTTCAGTTCCCTCACTTCTTGGAGTGGACATGATACCTCCAAGAGAGTCCTTTCCTCAGGCCTCGTCTCAGTGTGGTGGGGTAGGTGGTACCTGGAGGATGCAGCTCCAGTTCCCTGGTGTCTCACCAAAACGCCTCCAGAAATGGTTTTTCTTTCTTCTCCAGGGACAAGCGGGTACCACCCGGCCAGAGCCCCGCCTCGGAGCCTCTGCCTTTTTGGGCCTTCCCCCTTGGAGCGGTAAGTATTATTTCTTAGGAAGAGCCCAATTAGGGGGGAAAACAACTGATTTTTTTTCAAAGAAAGGCCGTTGGTATATTTGCTGAGAAGGTTTTTAAAGTTTGTGTGGGGGAGGGTGGAATCCATTCCAAATTCATGCAATCAGAAAGGTTTTGTTTGTGGTGTTATGTAGATTTTTCTTTTTTGAAAGAGGGCTAAAACGTGGTAAATCCCGAGGGGCCGAGGACTTGTGTCCGCACTCAAGGTGAGGATGTCGTGCTCTTCCTGTCAGCACTTCCCTGGGAACCAAAGAGCGTCTCTGCTCACTCCCCAAAGCTCCCTCTGCACCCAGCCCTTGCAAATGCGCTGGGGCTGCCCAACGTGCAGGGGTTTTGCTTCGTTACAACCCTGGCTCTTGCAGGGTATTTTTGTGCTTGTGTGTGTTGGAGATGGAAATTTTTATGATCTATAGAGTAATAAACATTGTGTGAAACAAAATCCAGACCTGGATTACTGAATTTGATAATGCTCAGCAGAGGCCACGAAAGAAGGAAGATTGTAACACCCAGATCTCTGAAGAAGAACAGAAAGCAACAAAGAAGTAGTTAGTTCAGGAGAAGCAAGAACTACTTGTTCAGGCTCGTTTGCTCCCAGCCTGACTACAAACTGCTGTCTAAGGAAGTTTGAAGGCCAAGTCACTGTGAGAACGAGAAGGATAAGAAAAGCGAGACCACCAAATTGAGGGAGGAGACCCCTCTTCTGGAATTTTCTCAGGCACAGTCCTAGAAGGGTTGTGTAATAGGAAGGCGGAGATTTACCCGCCCCTGGGCGGCCTGCTGGCACGTACTGGCCCTACATGACCGGATGCCTTGGGGGATAAAATACGAGGGGCAGATTTGGGGAATGGAGACTCCCGATATCGAGGCCAATGTTGTCTCCCACGGGAACGCCCGCTACGATTGAGAGCCTGCCAGCCCCTCCAGTCTGCTACCTTGGAGAGGTGTGTGGTCTCGTAATCCTGCTGGCAAGTATTATTCAGTAAGTAACTTGTTCATATTCACTTGTACTAAACGATTTGTATTCATTTGTACTTGCATCTGTGTTGTTTAAATTAAAGGCATCAGTGTCAGTCCATTTGTGTCCTTATATTGCCAAATCCGAAGCCCATCCGGCACACGGCGTTGGTTTTGCGGCCTCAGGCTGTCACTGCTGCTGGCTGCTGTTGGGCATTTTGTGTTTGGATCTCGTGTTGGAGCAGGGTCTGGGTGGCGACGCGGCCCCAGCTGTGACTGCCCCAGGTGCCGCGTTCAGGGCCTCCTGCAGCCCAGGCCTCGGCCAAGGCTGCCGCGAGTGACCCCCGGGGGCTGTGTCCTGCTCCCAGCCGGGACGCTCCCCACGGCCCTTGGTGCAGGGTCAAGGTCTGGGGTAGGGTCCGGAGCGAAGGTCCAAGTTGACGATCAGGATAAGGTCGAGGTCCAGGTGCGGGCTGAAGGTCTGAGGTCAGGTCCGGGCTCAGGTCCAGGGTCACAGTCTTGGGTCAGACTCTGGATCAATTTTTGATGCAGGTTCAAGATGCAGGTTCAAGGTCTAGGGGGTCAAGGTGTGATACAGGGTCAAGTCCTGGGTGGGGTCTGGAGTCAAGGTCTGGTGTTCAAGATCTGGGGTCTTGGTGCAGGGTCAGGTCCCCCGGGTCCGAGGTCCAGGGCCAGGTTCAGGGTAGGATCCACAGACAAAATCCAGGGTCAAGGTGCAGGGTCGGGCACCATTGGGAGTTGGGGGGCGTGGCCAGAGCCCCGTTAGGCCACGCCCCCAGTAGGGGAAGTGCCACTGGATCCCACCCTGGGCCGCGCTGGCCCCTCTGATGTCACCGGGACAGGAAAAAGGGTGTAAAAAAGCCCAATTTTATTGTAATGCATGATCACCTTATGCGGGGCTTAATAAAAACCGCCCTCTTCCCTTTCCCCACTGCCTTGTGCTGCGTGGCCGGGCAGGGAGGAGGTGGCAGGGCCACACACATCCTTAACGTGTCCTTAGTGTGTCCTAGCGTGTCACGGGCTCTTGGCATGTCCGCAGCAGCCCATCAGAGTGGATACAAGGTGGTCACACGTCCTTAGCGTGTCCTTATGTGTTCTTAGAGCATCCTTAGCATGTCCTTAGCACATTTCAGGCCCCTTGGAGGTCTTGGAGGAACTTAGGGTTCCCTAGACAGGTGGGTTGGAGGGTCTTGGGGGGAGATGGGGGATATTTGAGTGTCCCTGGGGAGTTGGTGGGCGTCCCGGGGTGGAATTAGGAAGTCTGGAGGAACTTAGGGGTCTCTAGGGGGGGATTCGGGGAACTTGGGGCCCCTGGGGGGGATTTCAAGGTCCCTCAGGGGGTGCTTCGGGCCAATCGGTCGGGTTGGGGGACCCCGGGGGCGGAGCCTCCCCGGGAGGGGGCGGGGCCAGCCAGGGCACCCTTGGCGGGGAGGAC